GCAAATATCATTGGTCGATTATTTTTAAAACAGAGGAGTACTAGAAAAAAATAATGCGAGTAATAATCACAAAGTACGAAACAATACACCAATTTTTTTTTTTGAAAACTCTTATTTAATATCCCACAAAAATGTTTATAACAATACACGAAATTATCGAATATTTATTTAAATTTTAATCGAAGTTTGTTGAATTTAATTAAAAAAAAGCAAAATGAATAAGAAAAATGCTAGGGGTGGGGGACAAATGGGGTAGCATTGCTCAATGAATAAATATTTTGAGACATAAAGAGGAAGTCTAGTTAGGACATGGGCGTGGGGTATGGGAATGGGGGGCTTCTTTATGAATGGTTAGTTGGAGTTAGATGCCTATAATAATTGTCCCTTTCTTTAAGAAGAAATTAATTGAAGCTATTTATTTATTTCTGATCTTCTTTTGGGAAATTAATTTTTTCTTCTTTATTCAAGTACCATTACTCCAATATAGCTAGGAGGACTTGTCAGTTTGTAGATCTACAGGCCAAATTTCTCCATCAAATGAACACCATCACTATGATATTTGTAACACAGCCAAAAGGTAAGTAATATGTTACTTCTAAAATCATGTTATTTACTAAATGGTATATAAATAAAAAGTAAAAATCACACCCTTCAAAAATAGATCTAAATTTCTACTCTCTCCGTCCCAAAAACTCTTTCTTGTTTCATTTTTTGCGCATCCTATAAAATACTTCTATCAACATCTAAAATGCCTAAAATTTACAACATTTCTTCTTTATTGTGGGTAAAAGCTATTCTAAAAGTTTTTTTTGCATTCAAGGTGAGATAGAAGTGTTTTATGGGATGCGCAAAAAATAAAACAGGAAAGACTTTTTGGGACGGAGGGAGTACAAAATAAGATGTGAGAAGAATATTATATTTTATTAGATTATCAATCAAAACGAGTAAACAAACAAAAGTTATCGAGAGACCGAAATAGTAATTATTGCTTACATTTTGGGACGGAGGGAGTAATATGTTCTGTTCTTCTCAACTTATTTCTTCTACTTACGAGTATTTTTTATTCCGATCAAAATCAAATTAGATTAGATCAGATTCATCTTATCTTGTGACCCATAGGCATTTCTTCTTTTAAATACAAATTTAAATAATACTAACTTTAAAAAATTGATAATTCATGCCTCTTTAATTCCTATCATCCAATCACTCTACAATAAGTATTGTAGCCAATCGGCGAGAATGGAGGAGGAGAAAGGGAAGGTGTCAGAGTGGAGGGTTTAGGGCATTTTAATAGACGTTTAATTAGAATTTCAAACATGTAATAGAGCAAAAAAAAGCATTTCAATGAGGAATGGATAATTACCACATTGGTTTTTAAGTGTAATTTAATCACCACATTTCTTTTCCATACTACAATCAGACTTTGTTTGGAAATAATATATATATATATATATATATATATATATATATATATTTAGCGTTAGCATTTTACATAAAACTTTAAAGATATAAATTAATTCTCTCTTGTCTTAGAATGATTTACCTCTTTATTATTACAGTTTCTCGATAATTTTTGTTTATTTGAGTGTTTTCATTGATTATTTAATAAATTAAAATATTCTTGTCACATTCTGTTTTGTAGAACTTATGATATACTCCGTAGTTTTTAAATACATAAGTTTAATTTTTTATTTTTATATCAATTTGTAAATAAAATTATTTTTTATTATTTTATATCAATCCTAAGGTATTTCCTTTCTCCTTTGCCACTCCATCTTTTTCTTCTTACGCTTCAATTTTTACTTTAGTTTTTATTGCTAGTTTTCAGGTGATTTATTTGTTTATTTATTTTCGATCGGACCAGTAAAAGGTGAACTTTTTCCTGCAATTTTCAAAAGTTCGAAATTGATTTTCCGCGATTTTATTTGAAAGAGATGAACCATTCTGTTAAAAACAAAGAAATACTCCCTTTGCCGTTAAAAGATAAGTACTCCCTCCTTCCATCATTTTACTTTTCTTATTTTTGGACGGAGTGAGTATATGCATATATACACACACGTCCCCAAAAAGAATTACCCATTTCACTTTCAGGGAGTAAGAGAAGTGGTGAAAAATGAAATGTGAAAAATCCGTTAAAATCTTGACTAAAAGTTGGGTGTGGGGAGTGTGTATATGCTGACCTTACCCTTATTCGGTAGCTGAATGAAAAACTGTTTCCAAGAGACCCTCGACTCGAAGACGAAAAATATGAAATGTGTATGGTTAGAATACACGTGTTAATCACGGAGGACTAAAAAGAAATATGGAGTGAGAGAAAGTAGGTAAATTATGATTTTTTGGGACGGAGCGAGTATATTGTGATTGAGGTTGTTATTAGAAATGGACTTAATTATGTATTAATTGCCACTTCGTATGTGTGAGTTGTGATTACGAGATATGGACCGATATGGTCTTTTCGATTGTTCATGATGTTTTTCTATTCTTCACAGGCTGCAACCACATTTTTTTGACAATTTTCTTGAACTTAGGGGCAGAGGGAACGATTAATTGCTATATATTAAAGGGCAAGGTTCAAATGACATTGATAAGAAATGCCCTTTCACTGGCAATGTTTCTATCAGAGGTCGTATCCTTGCGGGCACTTGCCAAAGTGCTAAGATGAATAGAACAATTATTGTCCGCCGCAACTACCTTCACTTTGTGAAGAAGTACCAGAGGCAAGACTTAGCATTTGTTCTGGTTTCCTGTTTAGTTTTTTGAAAAAAATTATGCTAACTCTAATTTCTATCGGCAGCTATGAAAAAAGACACTCAAACATTGTTGCTCACATCTCTCCTTGCTTCCGTGTGATCATGTTATCATTGGTCAATGCAGGTGAGTATTACTCCCTTCTTCCCTAAACAATCTTCCCGCTTCGGATTATGCTATTTGGTAGAAGTTATTTTCAATTTAGTTTATTCAAATATTGGAGTGAAATTTAAAAATAAAATTTATATATTTGAAAGCTACATCAAGAGTTATACAGAACAAAAAGTGACATGACTATATTGTTTTATCAAATGATCTACTAAAATATACTCGATCTGTCCCTAAATCTCCTTATTTGGACTTTTATGGAATTTAAGGAAGGGAAATTTTTGTGTTGACTTTTCCAAATTACCCTTGGCGTGATGGGTAAAAGTAGGATGTGATGGTAGATTATTAGTAAATAGGTATGATGTGATAGGCAGGATAAGAATTAGTAGTATTAAAAGTGGTTATTAATAGAAAGGATAAATGAATTTTGGAACAGAGAAAAAAAAGAAAGGGGAGAGGCTTTTAGGAACATAGAGTGTATAAAGAAAAAAGATATAGTTTGAACGTGGAAATGGTAAATGAGAATATTAAAAAGGGATGTATGGAGCAATAGGAGCATAACCATCACACTATTCTCTTTTCGCGGGTCCTTGTTTTTGATTGGGCACTTAATGGTTATATAATGTTCGGCATGGTATTTGACATCGTATGGTTACGGTACATTAATCTTTATACGTATCTGTCCCACTATTTTTGTCCTATTCATCTTTTTAGTTTGTACCAGTATTTTTGTCTCGTACCCTATATGAAGCTATAATATGGGGTGAAATGAGATTTGAGTAGGATTTACCATACATAATTGGCCCTCATTTGGTAATAATGTATTAGCGAAAGCATTTTGTTTTATTTAATGATGTAAATTAACTTTGAAAATGATAAAATTAAATGCTAGCATTAGATAGCTTTGTCAAAATACTTAACATTGAATTTGTCGCCAAGCGGGCATGTTATTGTTTGCTTTTATATTATGAGACATTGAAATTTTAAAGACCATGGAAAATCACCAAGTTGACGGTTTGAAAATCTTTGGAAAAAACCACGATCTTTATGAGCCATGGATTACCGTCGAAAACCACACAATGGAATTTGAAACGTAAACAGATTTGCAGACATGGTTGCGGTGAGAAATTGTACCAGTTTTAACCATGATAAACCAAACTTGGCATTAAATTTTATTCTTTCTATTGGTTCTCCAATGTGCAACAATGCATATAGGGTCTAACAGAAACAGTCTCTTTGTTTTTGTACTAGGCTGTTTTCCCCGTTCTTCTAAAACGTGTTGACTCTTTGTTGTTCCATTATTGACAGATCGTTATCCAAGACTGTGAGGTTCAATGTTCTGAAAGTGGTTCTTGCTGGTTCAGCCAGTGGTGGAAAGAAGGCTTTCACCGGCATGTGAACTAGCGTGGTTTTCATCCCGAGCTTGAGGTTATGAAGTCATGATATTAGTGTTAGATTGTTGGTTTTTACCGCGTGCCCTTTCGACCATTTTCTTGGCCACTTAATGTCAGGAGTAAAAATTCATATTTTTACCAAGGGTGTTTTGGTCAATTTGTACACTCCATCCGTCATTATAAGCGACGTTTTGAAAGTAGTCTATGATCTTTACTTTAGGGAGAATGGAGGGGACAGTGATAAATTTGAGAGTGGTAATGTTAACACCTTTTTATAGAAGGTACTATTATTGTTTTTTTTAGAATCATTTATTCCCTTTTTCCTTCTCAAAGAAAAAAAATATAATCTATTCCTCCTTTCGGGTGATTTTCCCATGATAGATGTTTTCGTGTTCGCTCTTAAGTTTTCATTCACAAAACAAAACAAGAGGATAAGAAGTGAATACCATTAGTATTTTTTAAGAATAAGAATATTATTGTAATGACACAACCTAGTAGACAATAACATGGTCTGGTTATTACTGCAACGACATTTCTTAATTTATGTAAATTATGCTCTTGTACTTTGAAATAAGGGTTAGAGGGAGTATAATGTTACCAATTTTTTTTGATATGTAATCACATTTTCTTTTCCGTCGAGGGGCAGGGGTTGGGCTGGTGGAGGGGGGGGGGGGTGAGTCCATTTCATAAAATCGAAACAACGATTAGGAACCAGTTTGATATGGCCCCAAACCATTGTTGGTACCAAATAAGTAAAGAAAACCTTCATTCCAGGGCTCAATACCAAGTTCTAATACAATATTACAGTTCAAAGAAATTCTACATTTGAAACACTTTCCCTGCCAAAATAACTCGGTAGTAGATACATCATAACATATATATAAGGAGACACATCTCACATCTTCACAAGAGTGGATTATTGGTGGGATTAATTTATGCAACACAAACAAGGATAATATTAATAACAATAATAATAATGACAATAATAAATAATAAAAGAAGTGTTACGCCTGCAAAAAACTTGCATACTTTGCACCTAAGAAAAGCCTCTGGATGCAAAGCAGGGCGTTTTTTGTGACCTCTGCATTCTCATGGTTCAAAAGCTTCATTGCACGCTCCTTGGCTTTGAGATCGGTCACTATTACCCTTCCAGCAGGATGGCATTGAATGAATTGTGACAGATCAAAGCAAGCAACCGCAAGCGTTCTTGGATCACTGGACGTGTCCAGTATCGTAATAAGGACCCTCAGGATCTGCAGTCCAACTCAGGGGCCATCAGTGTTTTGTTGTTGTATGGTATGCAATGTTATTTTTTGTAGTACACAATGTTGTTTAGAATGTGCATATGATGATTTCAATGATATACAATGAAGATTTTACATTATTACATAAAATGTTATTTTATGTGGCATCTCTGACTATTGTGATATTTTTAATTTTTATCATCCGATCCCTGGAGTTCATTTTGTATAACAATTTTTTTTCTTCCGGTCACGTAATTTCATCATACTAATTGATCCTGCAGTTGTCTGATTCAATCCCTCTAGATTCATTGAGTGCACTATCCCTACTCACTTGGGTAGAGATAGGATAGTATACATGATTGATATATACAAGGACCAAATTGCAATGGAAGTGAATTATTTAAGTTTATGTCAAAGTGCATGTCCTATGTCAATTTAAATGCACGGGGGATAAGATAGATAAAAGACCTCACTAAAATGGCCGTTGGTGGCCCATGAACAACTTTTGCCAAGGAATTGATGAGAGAATAGAGNGGGGGACACAAAATGGTATCCAGGTGATTCACTGCAATAATCAGCAGGGTCACATGAAATTTAGTAGTAACCCTACGCAACGAGGCGATTCATCACAATCTTATGATATTTTTTCCATGCGAGTAGAAAAAACTTATGATGATGATGTTTTCCATTTACATATAACCATTCCTTCTTTAAAAGGTGTAGAACTTTGGGTTCGTATGCATTTATGGTGTTAACTACTTGCAAAAATAAATGGTGATAATGATGCTTGAGCAGAGACATCTGATGGGACAGCATTTTTGCAGCAAACACAAAATTTAAAAGACATATCCACTATATCAAGCTGAATAAGTGATACCTGGAAATCGTTCTCTTCAAAATTTGTTATGTTGTCCCTCCAGAATGAAGGATCTTTATGCATAGGAGACCAATGAAGATGACCAAGAAGGACCTCTTGCTTGTACTTATCAAATGAACTCAATGTCTTAATCTTATCTTTCAGACCTCCTTCTAGTTGGTTAAGAACCTCCAAAAGATCCTTCACAAAATTGAAACTGGGCTTTAACACTCAGGAAAATAAGATATTGGGATTTCCTCAATCCATCTTAATTCATTTCAATTCAGTTACAGTGTTAATCCATGCCAAAAGAAAAATTCATGACATTGTTATCCCACCTCATCACTCCAAGCCTGTGCTTTCAAGCTCTGAACAATATGTAGTACTCCCAGGTCCACCATGACTGCACCAAATGCCCCCTTGTGAAGCAAATTCTTCAGAGTCAAGACAACAACCCTGACAACCTACAAGTTGACACACCATATATTATTCATAAATCACGCACATCGAAACATTGTGTGTGACCTTGTAAGCATTGATAACAACTTATTTAAACTTTAGCCAAGAAAATTGAAGGATCAGCCGGTAAAGTAGGCACAAATTAGGAGTGCAACAGAATGTGTGGGAGATTGAGAACAACAAATATGAAGCTTGAGTATTAGCATGTGATATTTGACTATTTGCTGAAGAATGCCCATAACAAGTATAAGACTCACCTTTTCCTTTGTGGAACCTTTAACAACTTCTATTAACTGCGGCAAGGCCTTAGAAGTTGCTAAGTGCTCTATTGCAGGTTCATAGTAAGACAAAAGCCAAACACATAGGCATGTTTCATAGAGGAGCTGTTTAAAGGGAGGCAAGAAGTCAGATGATTTAACAACTTCACATGACCAACTTGAAACTCACAAGTAGGACTGTAGGGCATAGCAAAAAATCAGCATCAGATTTAAAAGTAGCATATGCTTGGAAAGAGACACAGGAAACTACTGCTTCCTACCCCCCCCCCCCCATGTTAGTCCCTCTGTCCCAAAATAAGACTCATGTTCCCTTTACAATATTTGACTGAAATTATTTTCAAATCATTATAAGTAAAAATTGGAGTAAAATTTTAAAAAAAATTATATATTAATAACTACATCAAAAGTTCTACAAAACAAGTGGTGACAAGGTTATTTTCTTTTATGAAATGATCGATGAAAATGTATAAAGAAAGTAAAGTTAGTTTGACATATGAATAGTAACTAGGAGTCTTTTTTTGGAACGGAGGGAGTATGTTTTTAGAACTTTTTTTGGGAAGAAAAGAGTCAAGTTTGATCAAACAAAGCTAATTTATTACATATAATTTGCAAATGAGATGCCAAAAAAGAAGTTACAGAAGAGTTACATATGATAAATTTAGCAAAACCAACAAATAAATTAAAAAATTATAAGTATGGTTAATGATCAAAAACAGTAGTGTCTCACAACTTTAAAGTTGCATACTGGTCAAATATGAGTCTTTTTTGGGGACCGAGGTAGTACATCTGAATATTCTCCGCATATATGAAACTTTTTTAACATAAACAATCTATTTAAGAAAAAAGCCCACCTGGATAGACTGCTGGGTAGAAGCTGGAGAAATTAAAGGCGCAAGCAACTTCACTCCATCCGCTTGGACAAATAATGATCGCACCAAAGGTTCTTTCAATAGAGTTGCAAGACTGTTGATTGACGTTGGAATGCCACGAGTAGGATGAGATGGTCTTTTCAGCTGCAGTTCAGAGATAAATGAGGACGCAAATGTTCACAATGAATGATAATAACAAGTATATAATTGTGGAAAGGCACAGCAGACTCAGTTTATAGTCAGACAGATATTTGCAGCCTGATTTCAGTTCCAAAATATGCAAGATCAACGAGGGAAACCATCACTGTTTCAATTTGCACAAACCTGCACGCAAAGCCACTCAACAAGGCCCTTTAATACATCATCACTGGTAGTGAGTTTCTTTTTCAAATTTGAGGCATCCCCATTACCAAAACCATTTTCCCAAACTTTTGGCCTGACACTGAAATTTATAAAAAGAAAAAAAAATTGTTATGTTTAATAATTTCTTTCCACAGTCCCTTGAGAAATTCATTTATGGAGTATACTACCTTACTATCAAAGAAAGTATCTTGCAACTCTTCTCTTGAACAAACCAGTTGCCTTCAAAAAGCAGCCTGGAGGAGGGAGAGAGAGAGAGAGAGAGAGAAGTTAAATCCTGAGGACAAGAAGAACAGTGAAAAGAAATACTCAGATTCCAAAAACTTTGGGGAATTAGGACAGCACTGCCAGCAGTTGGAGGATTCTTGTCCAACTAGGCATTTTGGTATTTACCCACTCAGATCCTGCCAGATTATCCTTAGATCCAGTCTAACCCCCCTATTAATCGGTGTCTAGGTGCTAAGCCCTAGCCTTCGGCTAACACTTACAACATTAGTGACCACACAAAGTGAGACTGGGAAAATGAAGTATGAACTGCTGCTCTTTAAAAACAAACCATTAGTGTTTTTTCGTATAACGTGAACCCTAGATAGACAATCCTTTCACTTAGCTGTCAAAACAAGTGAAAAATACACATATACAAACATGTATAAAAAAAGAAATCCTTAAATTCCGAATACTAGAGATAATTAACAAATATAAGAATAGCATTGCCTTAGGAAAGGCTTGTAAATGTCTTCATCCACAAGAGACTTGTCTTGGAATAATATAGCTCTTTTTGGGTTAACTGCAAAGGGATGAGAAAATGGATCAAATAGACTCAAACGAAGTGATAAGAAAACATGGAACTCCGTAACAATTTCCTGCACTTACGAGTGAGCATTTCATCAATTAAAGCTAAAACATATTCCCGTGTTTCTTCCTTGTGAATGTCACTTAGGATGCTAACAAACACTCGGACATAAGCTGAACCATCCTGCAGAAGTTGCAAATTGTCAATGACCTCCAACAGTATGCTATTCTACAAATTTTCATCAAATGGATCTCCCCAAAGCTGACACAGTGATGATATCAAGAGATTTTGAACCGTGGATAAAGAATGTCTAGCAATGAAGCTTGGCCTAGATGAGCTCACACTATCTTTGGAAATAGGACTATAGGATCAAAATTATACTCCATTCCTAAATAAAAGAGTCACATTTTAAAACCTTTCCCCCAATAAAGATTACTATTACATTGAACAGAGCTAAACTTCAAGTAATTTTACCCCAAAAAAAGTTTTAAAAAAAGTTTAAAGAGTAAAAGTGTGAATTCTATAAGACTAGCAATGACGACCTATATATTGACAATTGCTCTATATCATAGATACATTCCATTAATAAATACCATTTATAAGAGCTAACCTATATGAAAGCCCGAGGGATCAGAGAATTGAAAAAAATACAAGGACTTTACGCAATCCCGGGGTGAGATATAACATGTCTTAAACATTATGTGGGATCCTTGAGCATCATATGGGTCAAGTGTGCGAAAGGGATCGAATCTCATTTTCTTGGGCAAACACAATGTTCTTTCATGAATTACGGAACTCGAAGACAGGACTCTTTGAACAACGCAATAGAACAGTCGCTATCGCGACATACTTGGAGAGAAAAGAAGCAGAAAAAGAAATGCTTACATCATCCAACAGTTGGGACTTGTAACTTTCAGTCTTCTTATCATATCTCCTTAACAGCTGAAGACCAGTTCCTGTGATCATCTTTGTGGTCATGTAACTCTCCCATTGGATATTCCTTGTCAAAACCTTCCAAACAAGGCAAAAACAAAGGGCAACGCCAGTCAATCTAGGCAAACCATAAGCATTCATCCAGCTACAAATTGATTAAAATCACGAACAAATTTCATTCAATCAAACACGTCCAATCACAAACATTTATGTACAGCCAAGTCGATTGGGGGAGGGGTGGAGGGGGTGCTGGGTACCTACCTGGTCAGTGGTGAGCTCAGCTTGAACCGAATGCATGGCGAAAGCGGACCTCAGATCTAAAATTTCATTGGATCATCGTCACAACGATAACTCCGTATGCATCGAATCAAGGAATTTTAAAACAAGGATACGGAGAATTGATGAAACAACTTCGAATCTGTTAACGGTGCGGGAGGTAGTTTAAGGCGAAGAACAGAAGAAATACCTGAACCGCCGGAAATCGACTGTTACTGGAGTTAATCGGACAACGACGACGGCGGCAATGATGATGATTGTGAATCGCAGATGAGGATGGTGCTGAGTTTTTTTTCTTTCTTTCTCTTTTTACAGGGGAAAAAAACCGGTTCTCGTTGATAACTTGAAAGGACTTGCCCCCTTTCTTTCGCCCAGGTTACTCTAAATTCTTTTTTAACATTTTTTTATGTGATACGGCATGATTTATTTTTCCTGTAGATAAATTTGTAATAAAAAAGATATTCAAGATTGAACACTACGTTATTCTATATTCTCTGTCGGAAAAAGTTCTTTTGCCTTTCTTTTTTTTCGTCCCACAAAATCATTTCAAATTCTATTAAATAACCACTTATGCTCTTATTTACTTTTAACCTACATATCACATTATATCTTTTACTAATAATCTACACATCACATCTTACTTTTATTCATCACATAAGGGTACGTTTTAGAAAAACAACACAAAAATATCTCTTACTTAAATTTTTTAAACGTCAAAATGAGAACATCTTTTTAGGACGGAAGAATTATTAAACACTATGCTGAGTAGACTTCAAAATAAACACTATGGTTGAAAATAAAAATTCTTTTGATTCAAAATGAATACAGAGTATTTTGTTATTTCAAAATAAATATTTGTCGGGTGTAGCTAACTACACATTCCCATTTTTTATATAAAAAATACAAGTTTTGTTGTTTTATTTTTGTTTCAAAATATATTTCTCACGTTTCTTTTTTATTCATCTCAAACTAAAATCCACATTTTTGCTATTGCAAACGATATTCATACACCACTTTTCGCTAGGACACTCCAAAGTATATTACTCTGTATTAATATGAGAGAGGCGAATAGTGTATTTTGGAGTACTCATGTAAAAAAATTGAAGTGTAAATTATCATTTGCAATATTTTTGTTGTTAGATCAAACTAAGTTGTTTTTGGTGTTGTTAGTAACATTTATTTTTTTCTCATTTTAAAGAAATCCATTTCCACATTTTTTATTTTTTTTCACTTTTATTAAATTTTATCATGTCAAAATTTGATGCTAATTGCATAGCACATATAATTGATAACTCTTTTTTTTTACCGAAATAGTATAGTTATAAAATTGGAATTAATATAACTCATCATCCTCTCGATTTACCAAAAATAATATGAAAATTATTGAACTACATATCAAACTAACTACGCCAATGAGATTTTCCCTTTCTTACCCCTTTTTATGATGCATAAAAAAATAGTCATATTTTATAATGTACAGAGTAATTTTAACATTTAGTAAGGTGTATTATACCTGTATTCTATATATTTTAACTAAATTTAATAATCTATATATTTTGTAGTCACTATCAACTTAGCTTAATCAAAACCTCTTATTTTATAAACCTTTCTATTTACTACGAGATTACCACATCTTTGCTTTTCTTTGGTGATATTTTTTCCTCAAATTCAGTTAAGGTGTGATTATGTTAAACATATTAACCTGTAGATTTTATTTAAAAAAGACATTCCTCATAGAGTTTTGTTTGGATTAGAGATTAACATTACTGTGACACATTGAACATCAATGTCATATAATGACTCAGGCCTCCTACAATGTTCCATTTAAAAAATTAATGATTCCAACCTTTGAACCCTCTCTCTTCCCTTCGTTGTAGCCAATCGAGAATGGAGACTAGGATGCAGGGGGTTTAGAGAAAATTAGAGGTATGAACCATCAATTTTTCGAACAAAGCAACATATGTGTTGGAATTTTGGTGTGTCGAGTGAACTGGACATAGTGTTAGGTGAGACTTGACTAGTTACTCATATAAGATTCAAATTCATTTTCTATACAAAAATTTTAGCTAATGAATTGTGTTTCACATTTCTTTATATAGAAGTAGTTTTTATTTTATTTTTTTTGATGTGGGATGAATCCCAACATCCCCCTCCCCCAAGTGGTAACTAGTCTGGGCTAGTCACTACTTGGATGATGGATGAATCTAACATCTCAATCTTTTTATAACTAACTCAGTGAATACCAGGGCGAGCCGAACTCAAACCAAACTTGGCTCCAATACCATGTTAGAATTTCGATGGGCCGAGTAAACTAAGCCGAATGTTGGGTGAAATTTGACTATTTACTCAAATAAAGTTCAGATCCACTGTCTATCCAAAAGTTTAAGCTAATGGATAATTTTTCACCTTTCCTTATATAGGAGTAATGTTTATTTTATTTTTCCGATGTGGGATAAATCCCAAGCTCGGATTATAACAGGACATTGAGACCATCATAGTAATATATTGTACTCCCTCCGTCCCATGAAACATGGGAGTTTTGATTTTTAGGAGGGATTTAAGGGGAGTATATTTTGGTATTGAATTTCCAAAAATGTCCTTTGATGTGATGGGTAAAAGTATGATTTGATGGATAGATTATTAGTAAAAAGGTATGATGTGATAGTTAGGGTATGAAAAAGTAAGGGATAAAACTGACTTTTTAATAGAAATGAGAAGTATTTTGTGGGACGGATAAAAAAAGAAAGGAGAAAGGTTTTATGGGACGGAGGGAGTATATAATAATAATAATAATAATAATAATAATAATAATAATAATAATAATAATAATAATAATAATAATAATAATACTCCGTAATAACAATATGGAGTACCACAAAATAAAAAATGAAAAAAAAAATGCATGAAGCTATCTACTCTGAAATTGTACACACATGAAATCATAAAGAGAATGCCGGTGCTAAGAATTATGTTTCATCTCTAATACAATCCCTTAAGGTGGAAATCAGCAGCATCAGACGCCAATGGAATATCAACATACTTACCGGAAAGTGTACATTTCAGGCACTGCAGGATCATCATGAGGAACCCAACAGTAACCGCAGCCCAAATGTGTGTTCCGATATTATTACCCCAATGCACAAAAGGCGGCAGCCAGCCATACACAACGATGATGATATGCATCCAATTCTCCAACAGTATCGCCATTATGACATGGAATCTGAAAAAGTGTGGCCATTCCTTTTTCTTCACTACATAAAAACAAGCTGTGAAGGTATATGCCATCATAAGCCAGGTGGGCAGCCTTCTAAGGAAGTTATTGTAAGGGTTGGAAAGGAAATTGGATTTCTCCACCAAGGGACGAAGATGGAATGATTCGCCTGCAAAATACCATGTTAGATGGAGAGGCATCAAATAGGGAAGGCATGCTAAGGTTCTCCACCACCACTTTGGTTTCTCATCGATTTTAAGGTAGGATGCGTCCTTGAATGCTCTTGTTGTGAGAGAGAACTGTTCTTGCCTTGGTGATCTCAGAGTAGCACATAAGAAGGTAAGTTTGCTAGAATACAATGAAAGCGCATCATCATAGGTTACGTCATTGAATGCTTTTATAGACGAGAGGGGAAAATGAGGTTCCCTTGGTAGTTTCAGCTCTGCGCGTGAATAAGCTTTGTTCCTCAGATGCAAGGGGAGTGATGACGCAGAAGAAACTCCTGAAATGACAAGAAAGTTTATAATTTGCCAAGACGTTGGGTGGAGCTGGTCTTACTAGTACACCCTTAGTTTCTGAATAAATGTTGCACTAGGGAAATTTTTTGTTTCTATCATAAATAATTACTCCTATCTGATTACTGATTTTAGTCCAATTGACCCTTAATCCCTGACTAACTAACTTGATTGTGACTATTAATAAAGAGATTGCATTTAAAAGATACATAGTAAACAGGAAGATCAATAGTGACTACTTATCTTAGTTTTGCCTAGAAATTGGGTGCCCTTCAACATTTTTCTTAATTCTTGAGTAAAAATAAGTGAATGACACCCGCTCAGAAACAGATGGAATATCAAGTACCGTTGAAGGGGTTTAAGCATTCTAAGAACAAATCTATCAGCATTTATATCATCACTAACTCTGTGCAGAAGTTCATAAACTAAACTTTGAATAAGAAATCTAAAACCACTTCAGAGTAATAAAAACACTCAAAACCAACAACATTTCCAAAAATATATATATAATGAAGCATGTTTTCCCTCTACGAATCAAGAAAATGTTGGAACAAAATAAAATGGTCTCATAACAAAATTAACATAATGCACTCTTGCAGGGAAGAAAGCAGTAAAAAGATCATGGTTTCTATTTTCTAAGAAGGATAGGCGCTGACCTCTGTAGGAACAGGATTTCAAAGGACCTCTAATGGAAGATATTGCAACTCTGGAAAGTGGGGATGCAATGCACAAGGATGGTGAATTATAAGGCTGGGCATTTCCAGACATGCACGGCCTATAAGAAACTCCAGAAGCAAGACAAGATCCATTGAGCATCATATCCAAACCCTTCATTCCGGACCTACATTCGAGAGAAGAACAGCTAGTCAGCCAAATACCATTAACAACATTTTTAAAAACAAAAATCCAGAAATGCAGAATGGAAAATACTGTCGATGTAATTCACAGAACAATCATCACTCAAATCGGGACAATTCATTAATTTACCATGAAATGCACACGGAATCAAGGATATTCTGCAAACTACATACACAATCTTTTTCATCACATAAACATTTACGCAATAGAATCTAATTCATGCAAAGCAATTCAATTGGGAGTTGGGACACTTCCAGTAACTTCGCCCCAATTGGGAGAGGAACACATTGATAAGCGGATGAACGCAATTCACAAAAACCAAGTCAAACAACTAATACGGTTCATATCATCAGACAAACTTACTTTCTAGATGAATAATCTGTCTTCTCCGGGGCAAGATGGAAGGTTGGCGTCGCCCTCTTCGCGGCAAACCAGGAGAGAAATCGGGAGGCGGGAAACTCCAACAAGCATAGAAGGCTCCACGTGCGGCGTTAGGTTGACCGGAAACCAGGACGGAGGAGTCTGGAAACGGGAGGAAAACGCAGAGGCTCCCGGTAGTGTTTTAACGGAAAGGAGCGGCGGCGGCGACGAGAGGGAATGGAAACGATGCGATGGTCAGATAGGCGGAGATTTTGGAGAGGGATGGTTCTCGATTATTCTCTACTATGGGTGGAGAGACTTTTTTTAACATACGGAGTAAATTTTAGGAAAATGCAATGTCTTTGGCTCCCTCCTCGTCCACAAAAATAGGCAAGAAAATTCAAAAAAAAAATAAGTAAATGAAAAGCAAATAAAAATAAATGGTTATGGAGGGAAAGGGGGACATTTAGGTTACACTTTTGGTGTATCCCTAGCATCTCCCTAAATTTTATTACTAAGTTATCTTTTAGTTTTGAATTTAAAAATAAAATTTATATACTTAAAAATTACATTCAAAAAGTTATTATATTAGAATACAGAGTATATGTTTCTAATTCATACATTATCAATATATTAAAACACATATAATTATATTACAATGTAGTATATGTTTATATATTTCACAATTTATTTAAACACTTCGATATATTGCTCTCTCTCAGATTCGAATATATGATTTTACATTTTTTTTTAAGGATGGGTGGCTTTTCATTTAAGCGAGTGGTCATGATACAACTAGACCGCAAGGTCTTTGGCTCTTTTTTTTGAAAGAAACGAAATGACTTCATTGATTCAAAAAGGAGTAACAAAATCTAGAGACAAAGTGTCCCAAATATCATTCGGTATTTTAACTCTCTTAGCAAGATAATGTGTAATAACATTAGAAATTCTATGAACAAAAGATACAGAAAAACGATAAACAAAGAAATAACCTCAGCTCCTTGCAGTCTAAGAATCACAAATGAAACTTCTTCCTGATTAATGGCCTCTAACACAAAGGTAATCAAAAAAACATCATAGTAAAATCTCGCAACTACGTCCTTTTAACCAAGATAGAACTTCATTGACATGCCAAAACTTGGGTGAGGCCGCTATTGTTCAAAGCCCCCTCCCCCTTCCGCCCCATCCATTATTTAGAATCGGCAATTTTGGGACTGAAACTGTACCGAACCAATAACTTGTCCATTGTTAAATTCAAATGACAAGTTACATACTTCCTCCATCCTATAAAAACAAGGAAAATTTACTTAAATAGCACTAAAACATAATGACTTTCTCTAAATAGCACCACATGTGTTTTTCTTCCCAATGTAGTGCTTTTAGTCATTATGCATTAATCATTATTCAAGCAAATATTTGCTATCACAGGACATTATGGACATTATTAAGTACTATTTAGAGAATAAAACAATTTAAGTGCTATTTAGGGAAATGACTTAAGTTTTAGTGCTATTTAGTACAAATATTTCTAAAAACAATTCCTGTTTTTTTATGAGTCCCAAAAAAAGTTTTATTTTTGAATTTTTGAAAACTTCATATATTTAAACCATAAAATTTTATTTTTCTTAATCTATATACCAAACTCAAGTTGACCCCCCCCCCAAATAAATTTAATCGGCAAGGTTTTCTGTTGGCGACAGAAGAAGGAAGCTGGATCGAGGAAGGAAACGAATCCTGTTGGAATTCGGTTTAGTATCTTTCCTAGTTTGCTTAGTTCTTGTTTTAGTAGGAATATACATATAGAAGGAATAGAAGTTTACTTATATGCTTTACTCTCTTCCTATATAAAGAGGGTTAGACATTTGTATTCAAAAGTCAATTCAATATATAAAGTATTTCCTCTCTTATTATTTTCTACATGGTATCCGAGTAAGTTTTGAATTCTTGAGACCTCAAACACGCTTCTTCCCCTGCCAGTGGGCATACACAATTTGATGCCTACCGGCGGGATATTATAATTTTTTATTGGGATATGCTAGGGGTAAACTAAAGGTGTACCCCAAATGTACACCACCCCTCTCTTTACCATCCATTTTATTTTATTTTTAATTTTTTTTTTTTGAATATTTATTGCTTTTTTTTGGTGATGGAGGGGGTGGGGGATGTTTGGGGTACCCCTAGCATTTTCTTTTTTTATTTTCTTTGACTGTTCTCCCTCACTAAAGAGTATCATGATCTCCTTCAACGAAGAACATTGCTGTCGAGGAATCCCGCCCAACCTTCAATCTTGAAGAAGTTGTCCGACAAGGGTTGTTCTAGAGGGGTTCCTTTGCGGGTGAAAAAAAAGTCGACGTTCAGGGTGTTCGAAAAGAATGGCGTCCCCCCTGTTTGTTCGAATACGGTGAAGGTTCGAAAAGAATGGCGTTCCTTTACTCGACTGATTTTTCGGCGGATTCGAAAAGCTTTGTTCAATATTTTGATGTCCAAGCTGGGCATGTTGAACTCCCACGCTCCAGCTAGAGGGGGAGTGTTGGCGGCAGAAGAAGGAAGTCGAATCGAGGAAGGAAACGAATCTTGTTGGGATTCGGTTTAATATCTTTCCTAGTTTGCTTAATTCTTGTTTTAGTAAGAATAGACATATGGAAAGAATAGATGTTTACTTATATGCTTTACTCTATTCCTGTATAAAGAAGGTTAGATTTTTGTATTCAAAAGCCAATTCAATATACAAACTATTTCCTCTCTTATTATTTTCTACATTCTCATTACATTACCCCGCAATCTCATGAGAATTTGAGTCCAAAGTCAAAATCAACTCGTGGGTTGCAATTGAAGGAGGTGAGGTGTGTTCGGGTCGCGGCAGGGTGAGGGGGTAAAAGACCGTCAATTTTACGAACGGGGCATCGACACGCCCCCGAGTCATCCCATGACATTGGCGAGCAATGTCATGGGAACCTTACGAAAATTTAATTAATATATATGGAGTATTTTAAATTTTTTTTATAGCTAAATGGGCCTAAAATTCTAGTCAAATGTGTTAGGGACTGCAAGTCTGCAACCCACCCCGCAGTGCCCAAAAGACTCCAAATACTCCGTACTGTACAAAAGATATTACCCGTATTCCATACTTTCATCATTTTTTTTTCACTTTTGTTTTGGAATCATCATTTTTATTCACTTTAATTTCAAGAAAATAGTAAAAGAAAAAGTAAAATAGTCGACATGGAAGGTGCGATGGCCTTTTTTATTTGACTTCAAATGCAAGCAAAGTCTACTTATCGTCTTCTGTTCCCACAAAGAAAAAGTATTCAAAAAAAAGTTATTTGCAATATTTTGAAACATGTACAAAATATAATTAATTTTTAAAATTATTTTATTTACGAATTGGTAAAGAATATAAAAACTAAAAATTACAACGTTCAAAAATACTTTAAAAGTTTGACAAAACAAGATGCGACAAAAATATTTTATTTTATCAAATGGTCAATCAAAACGAGTTAACAAGCAAAAGTTATCGAGAGGGCGAAGTACTAACTGCGAGTCTGCGATATTCTTTTTTAAGATTGAGGGAGTAATACCACACTCATAATTACCCTCTCCCTTTCACCATTTTTATCATTTTTTACCGAATGCGTCTTTAATTTCATCACATAAAATTTTTGACACTTTTAATTTATATCCCGTCTTAAAATTATAGTCATGCTTTGAACAATATGTAAAATTTTATCGCTTTTAAGAACATTGTGTCTATAATATGGAATATTAAAAAATATATAAATTACTTGTACATTTTTTAAAAGTACAACAAAAAAAATTACATTATGTGATAAGATTATTTTATCTTATCTTATCAATTCATCAACAAAAATAGACAAACAAACAAGTGTTTGGTCTTTTTGGAACCCTATTATCCATCAACTAGCATTAACTACGAAGTTTAGCTCGGTGTGCTCATTTAAACATTAGAGTTTCAATTTTTTACATTTAATTTTGATCATTAGAACTCTCATACTATATCAAAAAACTAACTTAACCAAAATTAAAATGTGTGTTTTTAGGCACAAGATTGGTTGTTATACTCTATACTTTGTTCTATAACCGCATTTTTGTTGGAATTTCGTACATTTGGTTGGAATTTTTTCAGAAACTTAGCCTACTACATCTTCGTTTGGAAACAATATTTTTAGTTAACGTTAGTATTTTGAATCAACTTTTTGGAACGTGTAAATTAATTTTAAAAATATTTAAATCAAGTGATGTTGTTAGATAGTTTTTTAAAAACACAATATTAAAGCTAAATACTTCCCCTTTCCTAAAAGATTGCTACAATTTAATTTGTTGGTCAAACCGTGATACCCATTAATCACAAGGTGCTATATATAATAATTTGACCAAAAAAGTCAAACTGTGACAATTTTAAAAAAATGGAGGGAGTGCATAAATTATTGCCAAATAAACGAGCACTACAAATAAATTTCTTTCTCATAAAAGTCTTTTGACATTTTTGCCATGCATGTATTAATACAATAATACTGGAAGTATGGGAGGCAACTGCACTTTTAATTTAATTTTGTTTGCCAAGTACAAGTACAACTTAAAATTTGTTTCACAAATAGGGACAAAGTTTTAAATTCTTCATAATTATTTTCCAATTAGTCAAAATGTGGGGTTTTAGGTGTTCATTAGTTCATGTATTGAATTTTTTTTTTTTGTGTCTAACTATAGTCCAACATATTCTAATATGGAGTAATTGTTATTGACTTTTAATTTGATAATATGGATAAGGCTAATTTGGGAAATGTTGTATTCAAAATTTAAGTGAAAGTACATGTAGTTTGAAATCTGTTCATCTTAGAGTACATTTTTCATTCAATGGTTACTACATACTCTCCCCCAAAAGAAAATTATATGGAGTAATTTGGTTTTATATATGAATTTTGAAGAAGTTATTGAAAAATAAAAAAGGTAAGTATGGATATAATTTGGGCTAAAATCCACCATTGGTCCTTCAAATTTATCAGTTGTGCATGATTGGCCTTTCAAGTTTTAAAAGTCCATAAATAGTCCTTCAACTTTATAAGTTCTGCACCATTGGTCCTTCAAGTTTCAAAAGTCCATAAGTAGTCCTTCAGGTACACGTCAGCCCTCCATATAAAGTCCTTTT